TTTTTGTCGTCTGAAAATTATCACAAATATCAATTTTGAGTGAATTATATTCACTATATATTTATATCGCAGTTTTCGTATTTCTGGAAATTACCGTTATATGGGAAGTGGGCGTGGTTACAGTCCGATTTCGCCCATTTTCAATACCAACCTACCTTGGATTAAGGGAAACCTACATACCAAATTTCGTCGAGACATCTCAATTTTTGCTCGAGTTATCGTGTACACGGACGGACGGATAGTCGGACAGACGGACGGACAGACAGACATGGCTTAATCGACTTCTCTATTCATGCTGAGCATTTATGTATACATTTGTCTATATCTATCTCGATTCGTTTTGGCTGTTACAAACAACCGTTATGTGAACAAAATTAATATACTCTTGTGCACAAGTGCGCTCGGGTATAAAAATAAACGCACAAAAGCATATAAACTTGGGCAAAACAAGAAAATTGCTAAAACTATTTTATAAACAATTTGTTTTATTTCATTGACAAAATATATATATTCCAGGTAATGTAAGTAAAACAAAACTATAATCGAAATAGAAGCCTAGGGCATCAATGCTGACAAGATGCATGCAAAACTAAGGGTTAATTCATTTGTTTATACTTTTTGACATAATAGTACCTTAAAGAAAATGCTCATACCGACGTAATTTACACCGATTTCAGTAAAGCTTTTGACAAAGTATGTCACTCGTTACTCATCCGTAAACTCGACCTAATCGGCTTTCAGCCCAGTCTCCTTCAATGGATCTCATCTTACCTCTCTGATAGAACACAAAGAGTTATTGTTAATAATTGTTCTTCCAACATCATTAAAGTTTCTTCAGGAGTTCCTCAGGGAAGCCACCTTGGTCCGATTCTGTTCCTGATATTCATTAATGATATTTCTTCTATAATAAAACATTCAAAAATTTTAATGTATGCCGATGATGTGAAACTTTTTAAAACATTGTCCTCTATCGAAGAAAGGTCTTTGTTACAAGCGGATCTGAACAACGTGGTTAGTTGGTGTAATACAAACTATATGCCACTAAACCTTCAAAAATGTAAAGTTATGTG